TAAATCAAATTTAAATTGCTTTAATCACTAAAGTCTAGGCTTCCATGGGTCAAGATATTTTTGGAATATGTTGGAAGGTTTATTCCAGACATTGATAAAATTGATTGAATTGGGAATTGATTGATTTTTTTTTCTTCTTTTTTTGTCCGAATCATGGAATATCAGAGATTTTGATTGACCTTTTTAATTTTCAAAATATAATTTTTAAATTCAGTGTTTTTATAATCACAATGTCATTCTATTACTTTATTTTATAACCCATCTATGCAACAGGAAATCACTTAAGTAAAATGCAGTCACCAAGCTGTACTTGTAAAAAATACTGCATTGCTTTGTGTCTGCTCTGCTCAAAAACAGTTGCTTGTTTTTCTCCGCATTTTTTTCAAGTGCGCTCCTTTCTGCAATTGCGTTAGACTTCTGATTCATTTGCCTATGAGTAAATAACTAGAAGTAACAAACAGTCAAACTACTTGTGCTTTAAATCCTCATGTTTGATTATACAATACATTCTAAAGTACAGTATATATTATAAGAAAATACCATTTTGCAACATAGATTAAATTACCAAGCTGTTTTGTTGGGCAGAAAATGTATGGTGAATAAGTAAATAAGAGAGCAAATTTTAAAACATTTAATTTACAATCATCGCATCACACTTGCATAAAAAAAAAAAAAAATGTGTGTGTGTATAAGTCATGCAAATGACATTTTCCATGAGAAGAATGCTCCCCAGCCAACTTTCTTGAAGAGAGGTTTGGTCACTACAGAATGTGCTTTCAGTCCAAATTCTCTTTAATATCAAAACACTGTATATATGCAATTGCAATATATTGCTTGAGATGCACTGTTTGAGTGAATATTTCCATTTCCATTCATTCATTCATTCATTCATTCATGATTCATTTATTCAATTATTCGATTTCCTTCAGCTTAGTCCCTTATTTATCAAGGGTCGCCTCAGCAGAATGAACCATTAACTATTCGGGCCTGTTTTACGCTGCAGATACCCTTCCAACTGCAACCCAGTGATGGAAAACACCCATACACTCTCACATTCACATTTAAAATTCTGTTTGGCCAATTCACTTAATCGCATGTTTTTGGACTGTGGGGGAAACTGGAGCAACCGGAGGAAACCCACATGAACACTCACTGGGAAAAAAAAAAAACTTTAGTTTATCTAATTTAAAGAATAAAATAGGGTAATGGTTCACATCTAATTTTTTGACTTGGCCCAACTATAATTAAATAGTTTGCCTTAAACAATATTTTTTTTTCAGTCTATGAAGGTACAAAGCGAGTTGTAATAATTGCTGTTCGCAACTGGAGCTAGGAGAACACTCTGCACAACCCTGTGTTGTCAGTAATCTAGCAAAATAAGCAGGTATGAGGCAGCATTGTCTTTTTATTCTGAGCTCAGAACACGAAGAGCCATTAACAGGACCATACACAATATCCTCGTTGATAGTGATGGGCAATATAAATGAAATAATGGGCGTAAATCAAAGAAGCCAACTCAAACATAAACACACAAAGTTTATAACAAAACAACCCATCTGTTTTAACTAATATAACACATAAACTCTAAACCATTTCCCATGATGCCCCTGGCTACAATGTTTTGGGCTGGGTCATCACTGTGTGAGTAACCTTAAAATTGTATTAATTAGTCAAAAAAAATATTTCTTAGTTGAGCACTCGATCAAAATCATTTATTTTTTAGCTATGTTTTGAACTTAAAATGTATTACTTGAAAAATAAAACAAATAATATTAAAGTGAAATTAAATATACATTTTTAATTGGATGAAGTACTGCTTGGTAACATGTTTCAGTGTGGGGAGATCATGCAAGTTCACACAGAAGTGACCCAGCTGGGAATTGAACCAGTGACCTTCTTGCTGTGAGGCGACAATGCTAACCACTAACACAGACCATCAGTTGAGTTTATCAGATTGTGTTCAACATACCACAATCGAAAAATTGATGAATGTTTGTCCCAACAGTTTACTGACAGACGAACATACAAATGTTTCTTAAAAATATTCTTTTGTGAACTGTCACATTCAGTCTACAGCCCATTGTTTATGAGTTTTACAGATGTAAACAAACATATCCATCTACATGGTAAAGTATACAATATGTGCATTTTTGTAGTTTATTACTGTATCTCGCTTAAATGAAAACGTTAGTGGCGCCACATCCAAACAGTGTGTGATATTAGCATATGCAAAACGCATATTTTAGTAACAGATAATTGGGAAAACGGTGGATAGCAGATATGACCACTTCAAGCAGAAATATGCAAATAGCGATTGAATATCACTGCACCTCTCATCTCTACACACCCAGTAATTTGTCATCACAGGGTGATGTATCCTCTTTCATATTAAAAGTGAACGGTGATCTGTGTGTTTAGCTTACCTTCTTTGCACCAGCCCTTCTTTACACTGGAACACTGGACTCATTCCAGTATTAATCTTGTGTATTGCCAGACTTTAGTGAGCTTGATGTGAACTGGAACGGACTTGGATGTCGCTTACACAATTCCATGAAGGTCACAAGACTGTAGCATGTACCATTCATCATTTTTCAGAAGGCTTGTTCATGAGCTTCCTCATTCTGGGTTGTGTGCACGCTGGATGGCCGTTTTGCCAAGTTTACAGCATCAGATCTCAGAGTAGACAATGTCCAAACAGTATATGATGGGCACTTTAAAAGATGGAGCCCTTTGGAACCTTTTTGGTGAAGAAACACAAACTTATTATAGCAAGAAAAGAGTGTCTGAATGACATGTTGTATAACTTAGCATATTTTTTATGCTAAAAAAATTCTCAGTTATTGTATATACATTATAATAGTATGTATGTATATGTATATATATATATATATATACTATGTTATGAATTCATGTATAATAATATTTACATATAATACGAATATTTCAATATTACTAAAGAAAATGGAATGTTCTTTATGGTGACCTTTTTACATATTTTAACTTGTATTTTATTTTGTCATTAGTTGCACCAAATAAATGCTGTACAATTGAGAAAAGGAAAGTTTATTAGGCTCTTTTTGGCATGAAAAAAATCGTAAGGTTTTAAAGGATCTACTGTATTTGGGAAAAGCTTATTTTAAGTCCACTAGACTTAAACAGTTAAGTTGAATCATTTTTTTAAAGTCTCTGTTCTGGATGGAGCACTTTAAACTTAGCTTAGCATCTATCATTAAATCAGATTAGACCAGTAGCATCATGAGTATTCTAGTACACCTAGAAAATAGCAACTTTTCAATTTCTGTAAGCTAAGCTAAGCTAAAAGAACTCTTGCCAAGCCCAGAGATTGGCAGAACATAAGAAAAATGGTAAACTCAAATGGTTAATGGTAGGGGAGTTTTAAAATGAGCCTATTTCCAAAAAAAAAGAAAAAAAAAAGAAAAAAAAAGTGTAGTGTTTCTTTAGGCTGTAAATGTACTGTATAGGCGATACTTCAGACTTTTTATTAATTAATTTCTACTGTTAGCATTATGAGTGGCAGAGTATAGTTCCTAGAGATGTTGACAATAGTAACTTTTCAATTTCTGTCTGTCTTAGTAAACAATTCACCTAGTCAAGCTTTAAAATTTTTTTTAAACATTTTTGATCGGTGCTAATGGTCTAATCCAATTCAATAATTCATGCCACGCTAAAGTAAAAGTGCTCTTGCAAACCGGAGATTGGCAGAATATATTCAGAAAATGGTTAAACTTAACTGTTTAATGGTAGTGAAGTTGTAAAAGGAACCTATTTCCAAAAAAAAGTTTAGTGTCCTTTAAGCTGCAAATGTAATGTATATTCGTTATTTTAGACTTTCTAATTTTATTATAAATTAATTTCCACTGTTAGTATTAAGAGTGGCAGAATATAGTTCATGTTGACTTAGAAATTGCTACTTTTCAATTTCTGCCTGACACAATTTATCTAGAGTTAAGCTTTAAATATATAAAATAAACTTTTTTTTTTGAGTGAAGTGCTAATATTCTAATCCAATTCAATGATTTATGCTAAGCTAAAGGTGGTCTTACCAAACACAGAGATTGGCAGTGTGTGTGTGTGTGTGTGTGTGTGTGTGTGTGTGTGTGTGTGTGTGTGTGTGTGTGTGTGTGTGTGTGTGTGTGTGTGTGTGTGTGTGTGTGTGCGTGCGTGCGTGCGTGCGTGAGTGCGTGCGTGCGTGCGTGCGTGTGTATACAATATATATATATATATGGTAAAACTGTTTAATGGTAGGCAAGTTGTAAAATTAGTCTATTTCCAAAAAAAAAAAAAAAGTGCAGTGTTCCTGTAAGCTGTAAATGTAACATATTGTGTTATTTCAGACATTTTCATTTTTTATTAATTAATTTACACTGTTAGTATTGTAGTGGCAATTTTTTTTCAGGAGGCTCTCTCAGTGGTCAAGAAGACACATTCTTACCCAAAGTGTCTTTTACAATTTCTTTCTTTGCAAAGAAAGTCAGACAATCATGCAGCAACGCAAGTTTCTGCAGTGTGTTAGATGCCGTAGTTTGTAATACCCACAAGGTCATCAGTGACATACAGGATGAATCCCAGTTACATCAGTGCTCAACTTCATGTTTGACCATCTATATTTCAGCCCTACGTCCCATCCGAACATATAGTTTGTTAAATCACTATGTACTTATGCAGACCTTGTCTAGTGATAAACAGATGTTAAAGTGGTCACACGTGGTCTAACGTAAACAGTACATCCATGAAAAATTAAAAAGACAGACCTTTATAATGTATATAAATAAATTTCCATCACAGTTTCAAGAGTGGCAGAGTATATATATATATATATATATATATATATATATATATATATATATATATATATATATATATATATATATATATATATATATATATATATATATATATACTGGAGTGTTCTTTTAAGCTGTCAATGTAACACATTGATGTTATTTCAGACTTTCTCATTGTTTTTATTTCTCTTACAGTTAGAGCTGATCCAGAAGCACATGTGGTACATGTAAGTACTGAACTACTACTAATTTTTTCTTGTTTGCTTGTTTTTTGGGGGGAGAAAAGAAGCAAAGTTCATGACATATATAAAGAGAATGGCTAGAAATGGAGTGGGTAATCGGAAAGGATACATTGAGATCAAATGCAAGTCTGAGCACTATACAGTGTGTGCGCGTCTATGTGTGATAAATGGCACAGACCCCACATGTCAGCGGCAAGGACAAATTTCAACATCCCCGGCAGGGATTTGCTGTCCGCTTGTGTGCTATCGGCTCCGACGTCTGGCTTCCTCAGGAGAGAGCGAGACAGCAGGCGAAGGTCAGCCTGACATGCTCATATCATGCCCTCTTGTCTGAATGCCTCTCTGGGGTCAAAGACATGGCAGGAACGCTCCCTATTCAGCGACTGGATTTTTAAACAGAATACTTGTGTTTTTAGCTGCTCCCGTATAGACCACCGTCTTTTCTAACAGATGGCAACAGCAAATATTCAGCATAGATCTGTAAAAAATAAGGTTATGAAGACACTTGTCGTGGATGTAGGGTCATAACAAGCTGCGTTTGTTGTGTTGGAACGCTGAGTAAGTAACACCTGTTGTTTGGTCTGACACTTTTTATGAATGAAGGTATTTTTTGTTGTTGTTTTTTATTACACAGTTAATTACTGCATGTTATTCCAATGCAAAAAATCTTTGTCTTCATAATACGTCATTAAAATGACTTTCACTGGTTAAAAAACCCAGCACAATTGTATGCACATTTTACACTGTAATAAATATTGCTGCCTAATTAACTTTTCTAGTTATCTCAACCTTATCAAACTGACTAAAAATATTAAAGGTCATATTTTGGCTTTGGGGGTCTTCAACAACAGTCTGATATGCATGCAAGGTCAAAAAAATACTTTTATTGTCTTATAATATGCATTCATTTTTACTCAATTATCCCAACGACTCCCATATGATTTGTTCAGCGATTCATTTGTACCCAAACCATCTCTTAGCGCGATGCTAATCTGCGCTGATTGGTCTTCTGACCCAGTGTATTACGATTTGTCGGCTGCGTTCAGTGTGAGACAGAGAGAAATGCCCACCCAGGCTGATCAACAATTTTGAAGTAGTCAGAGTGCAGAATGTATGTGTGAACCCAATGCAGGAGTGCATTAAAGCAATGCAGTTTAATACCAGCATATTATTCTTAACCACGACACACATTCAGTAATAATCCACACAGTGGCCAAAGCTGAACTATTTAAAACCTGACAGCCAAACCTAAGTTGATGGTGGCCATAGCAATGGCCAACGGCAGTGGATTGCAAGTTGACAAATGTTTTAAATCTGTAAACAAAGCAGCACATGTGGCATTTTCAATGTGGTTTTGGATGCAATATGAGAATATAAAAAGTCAACCAGATACAGTACAAGCCGCTTGGAGCAGTTACAAATAAGAATTACATTTAAATACATAATTTGCAAATTAGAGGAGGCACCTATTTGAAAATAACACTGCTACAGTGTTTGTCTTCTTTTTTTGCTACAGTGTTTGTGGCCGGGGGTTTCAATTTTCCCAGGTCTGCATGCACAACAAATGGGCGGGTCATCACGCCAACAAAGCTAAAGATTTGTTACCCAGATGATTCATTTGAAATACTCTGAGTCGACTCTTTGATAGATGAATCAATAGTCTTAAACATGGCACACTTTCAGATTTAAGCCTCATTTCACTTCATTTCACCTAGAGCTGTGTTACACACTGCATGAAAGGTTATTTTCAAAAACCCATAAAAGGGACTCTTTAAGTTAAACTTTGTATAGCTTTAAAAAATAGGTTGAAATCTGATTAACTTATTCAAATAAGTGAATGGAACATGAAAATATTTGTTGTCTTGACTTTTTGTTAATAATTTTTTACACCGTAGTGTTTTTAAAAATATGTTGTTGTTTGACATTTTAGTTCAAAATCATGGTTATTGTTACGGTGTCAAAAAAGCTTAAATTTCAGCATGATTACTTCAGTCACTCATGAAATCTTTATTTTCAACCCTGTTCAAAATGGATGTGCACAGGTTATTTATTAACTTTACACAAGTTAATAGAATGTTCAAAAGGACATCTGCTTTTGAAACATCATATACTTCTTTAATGACACTTTTAAACAATTGAATGCATTGTTTCTAAATGAATGTATTAATTTCTATGTAAAAAGAAGTTCTTGAGAAATAAATCAGCATATTAAAATAATTTCTGAAAGATAATGTGATTTAGAGGACTGGAATAAGGATGCTGGAAATGGCAAAACAGTCATTTTAAATTGTCCAAATATATACAGTTTGAAAGAATTATTAGTGATTTTTTTTGTCTTTAAATATTTCCCTAATTATGTTTATCAGAACAAGGGATTTCTTAACACTATTTTCTGTAAAAAAAAAAAAAATGTCTTCTGGAGAAAGTCTTATTTTATTTGTTTTATTTCAGCTAGAACAGTTCTTTTTTAAAATATTAATTTTAAGATCAAGAACAAACCATTGTTGACTTGCCTAATTTACCTAGTTAAGCCTTTAAATGTCACTTTATTTCTTCACTTCATTGTGGTCCAGCAACTGTTTGGTTACCTACATTTTTCAAAATATCTTTTTTTTTTGTCTTTAAAACAAATAGAGATTGAGTATGAGGAATTATGCCTTTAATTATATTCAGTATAGTAATGCCAATTTAGTATTTAGATTTGATTTAGGCTAACTTTGTTATCTTTTCCTGCACAAAATTCACTTTTTAAAAAAATGAAATAAATGTAGGTTGGGACTAGTGGCCCAAAATCCACTAGGGGAAAATCTGAAATATATAAAGAATTTGTCTTCTTTGAATGTCTTTGCTTCTGCTGATAATCTTAGTGGGAGAGTTCCATGTGACTGATTGGCTTCTGGTCTCCTCAGAGGGGGCAAGAATGAACCGGAACCGGAGCAGCCGGTACCCAGGAAGGTGGCGATCCGCAGTGTTCCCTCATCTGAGGACATCGACCCAGATGTTCTGGAGAGCATGCACTCACTAGGGTGCTTCCGGGACAAGAACAAGCTGATGAAGGACCTGCTATCAGACGAGTAAGTAAATGGCTAATGTTTGGAGTGTGTAAATATAAAGGCTATTGTGTGAAGAGATTAAAAGAAACCTTCGAAATTCTAACTTTATCTGTATTTATATTGATTTTTTTTTTATTACTATTCTCTAAACTAAAATTTCCTACCAAATTAAAAACATTTTAAACCGTTTTTGCTTAAAAAATATATATTTTTTACACATGGCTATGCAAGTACTTTTTACATGAGACTAAACAATGTTGTACAGGATATTGTGCAAGAGAGGTATAAAATGTGAATATTGTGCAAAAGAGGTATTTAAGGTTTAATATTGTACAGTACAGTTAAAAGTTGAGTTAAGCAGTGTAACATGATAGTGGTAGATTTATACTTTACATTAGTTTCATTATTAAGTTATTGGAGTTTAGATAAAGTGGCACAGGTGGTTTGTCAAGCCCACTTACCTGAATGAACCACAAAATGTGAAATGCACAATGTTTACAAGAGACACGGAGTGATTAAGAAAGTCTCTATAGTGCAAATGTGCAATGTGGTGCAATAGTCCGAGAGATAAGAGATTTTTGAGGGGGGTAAATTGATTGGAGTTGAGGGCTCTCACAGCCTGTGGGAAGAAGCTGTTGAGTGGTCTAGCCGAGCAGGCTCTAATACTTCAAAACCGTCTTCCTGATGGCAGCAGCTGGAAGAGACTGTAGATGGGATGGTAGAGTTGTTCACAATAATGCTAGCTTTGCTGGAGCACTGTGTAAAATTAAAATAAATGTTCTCATACTCATATAACCATACATAATAGATCAATAATACTAATGATAATAACTTAGAGGCCAAATGTAAAATTAAATTGCATAACATCCTTTCCACAATCCATGTTCCCAGCAGATCTTTTTTGTTTGCTTTGTACTGTATATTTTCACCGTTTTTTTTTTTTTTCTTTTTTGTTTTTTTTTGTGTTGTCATTCTTCACAACTCAAACAACTTAAAATGCTTTGACAGTTCCTGGAACTTCAGAACTTTATTGCATGTCTGAAAAATTTAGCTCTTCACCCAAAACATATAATTCATACTTCAAAACTGATAGTTAATGTTTTTCATCAAGTATGCCATGCTGCTCAAAATATTTAGTTTTAATTTCAAGTTTCATGACAGCCAACCACAAAAGTTTTTACTACAAAAAGTATGTTTGACATGACGAAACTTGCGATCTTAGTTGGCTAGCGATGGTTTTGGGAAACGCAACCCAGATTAGTTCATCCATACATTTTAATATAATTTGCAAACTTGAAGAACCAAGTTGGCTGGAAATCAGTTATCAAGATTAAAAGATCCAGGATCTGTCAAAGCATTTTAAGTTGTTTGAGTTGTGAAGAATGAACTCTTGAACTTACTGTTTTGAAAAAAACTATTTTAATTTTAAAGTTGAGCCAAAGCATTTGAGAAAAACTTTTTAAAAATACTTAAAGAGAGAATGTGGGATGACAATGTATTAATTGCATCTTATTATCTATATTGACTAATTCTCTATCTCTTTTTCATCAGTGAAAATCAGGAGAAGATGATCTATTTTCTGCTGTTAGATCGTAAGGAGAGATACCCCAGCCAAGAAGACCAGAACCTCCCTCCTCGCAATGATATAGGTAGAAAACAGTCAATTCAGTTGTTGTCGCACTAATTACACAGTTTTTGGCAAGTGGTTTCAGTTTTGGATTTAATTGTATTCTGTCTTTGCTGTTACAATTGTTTATCTGTTTGTGCAGATCCACCACGGAAACGCGTAGACTCACCAATGCTGAACAGGCATGGGAAGAGAAGGCCAGAGAGAAAGTCTATGGAAGTGTTGAGTGTTACAGATGGAGGTTCACCTGTACCAGCAAGAAGAGCCATTGACATGACACAGCATGGACAGAGGTATGGAAAACACATACTACATCCATCAGAAGTTTGAAATAATTAAGAATTTTTTTTTACATTAAACTAAAGACTTGTATGCTTACCAAGACTGCTGATGGATTGAATTCGTTCAAATATAAATAACTTTTGAAGATCTTAATATATATATATAAATATTTGTAGATATTTATATTATGCTATCTGAAATATTATCAGTGTTACATGTTCTTTCTGGATAAGCTGTATGTAAAAGTAAATAATGCAAAAGTTTTTTTAGTATTACAATACAATGCAATGCAATACAATACAATACAATACAATACTTGTTTTTTTAGTATTACAATACAATGCAATGCAATACAATACAATACAATACAATACAATACAATACAACACTTTATATGAAGCAAAGCACATTTAAAAACAACTGAAGTTGGCCAAAGTGCTGTACAAAGTAGCAATAAAGACAGAGAATAAAACAAAATATCAATTGAAACAATTAATTTTTAAAAGCAATAAAAACAGTAATTAAGG